CCCCAAAACCCCAAAACCCCAAAACCCCAAAACCCCAAAACCCCAAACATGTTCAATTTAATTGAAAATTATAAAATAAAATGACTAAAGTACCAAAACCAGCTGTACACTTGGACGTTGATTATCAGCCATCTACCTTGCACAATGCTAATTTAGATGCGCATGAAGAAGATCATTACTTTACCATTTTCAAAAGAACAAATCCCGAATATCTGCGGGCTAAGGAGCTACTGAAGGAAGAAATGGTTCAACTGATCTGTGATGCTCAAAGAGGAACCGGTATCACCATGATTAATCTCTAGACAATTTATTCAAAACTGTTTCCAAAATAGAGCAGAAGCAGGATGAAAAGTTAAGAATCATAGGTAATCCACGACTGCTTATGTACAGAGCTTCGTCAGGCCAAGCAAGAATCCCGGCAGTATCACGGAAAGAAGATGATGTTTCTGTTACGAAGGAAATAAATTCAAAGTCATTTGGTATACAGTTCAGTTTATCCTCCAGAATGTCTACAATAACCGGTTCAAATCTAGAGGTAGCCTTCCTCATCAACTTTTAGATGAAATGTTCAGGTACATACTAATGAAGGATAAATCTGAGATTAATCTCTTTGATGTCAGATGGCTCCAGAAAGAGCTTTCCAATAACCACTTCTTCAAGAAGCTCATTGAACAAGAAAGCCCAGAGGTATACCAGCGTTGCTTGGGATTGCTACTCTAAGCGGGGATGGAGTAGGTTATAAGCAAGCCCAACCAGGAGACACAATCATTAAATATATGGACATTGGAAAAACCTTCTACGTTATTTTCAAAGGAATGGTTGACGTCTTTTGCCCTGCAGAATGAACAGCATACCTTGGAGTCTTGGAATACAACAAATTACTTGAAGATTACAGAGACATGGTTCTCAGTATTGATGGCTCAGATGAGATCCCAGAACCAAATCAGCAATACAAAGAAATGGAAGCATACCAAAAGTTAAGCATAAAAGATATCGTCCATATTCTAGAAGGAACAGCTCCATTGAAACTTCGGAAGGAAAAAGATGAAAGAAGACCTTCTATATTTGAAAGACGTAATTCTCAACAAGAAGATGAAGAGAATTCAAAAATGTTTTTGAAATTAGAACAAGGGGCTTACAAATAGTGTCAAGGAATACAAAATCAGATACCTAAAGAAAGTAGCTCGGCTTGGAGAAGGTGCATCTTTTGGGGAACTTGCATTACTCACTACAAAACCCAGATCGTCCACCATAAAAGCTGTAACCAAAACGGATATGGTAACTATAAATAAAGACCAATTCAAAAGAGTTTTTTCTAAAGTGAATAAATAAAATACTCAAGCACAACATTGAACATACACTCACAAAACAAGAAGTCTTGTTTAAAGAAGGTTCTAGATTTGAAAAAGCATTTCTCCTCACTGCTGGTGAATTCGAGATTTCGAAATAAGATTGATGTCAACTCAATCTCAACTTCTATTCTAGACATACCTGAAAATCCAGATTTTCGGAATAATTCAAAAATAGTAAACTGCAAAATCTCAAAAATAAAAGCAAATGAAATAGTAGGCCTCGAAGAGATCCTACTTGATAGAACTAAATATATTACAACTCTAACATGCGTCAGTAAGAAAGGAAAAGTCATTGAAGTAACTGCCAATGAGCTCTTCTCCAAAAACAAGAATCCATCAACCCTTCAAACTCTAGAAGAAATTGGTAAATAACAAGACAAAGTTCCTATACGACAGAATAAGCTGGTATCGAGAGTATGAAACAGGGCTGAAGCCATACCACGAACCCAGACAGGTATGATCTCCACTTAAACCCACAGACTCTCCCTCTTAAAAATCCTAAAGACATTCAAAAGATTAAAACCAACTTAGAACAGATGAACAAGCAAGCTTTTAACGATATCATCAAAAGCAAAAAGTATCCTTACACAAGATGTTAATGAGTATAGTCAAATATAAAAATCAGTCAAAAGACCAAAAATAGTGCAAAGATTAGCATAATTCCTAATTAAAATCATGAATCCAATCCGTAACCCACTCCCTAACCTTTAGAGCTTAATTATGATGTTACAAATACTAATTTTCATCTTGAAAAGCTTTTGCCTGTAGTTCAGCCCAAAATGAACATTGATTCCCTCAGATTCTTCTTAAATAAACGAGAAGATAGTAAGATTGCACTCAAAAAAGCTAAGCACAAGGAAGCGATGGAGAACCACAACGCCTTTATGAAAAGACTTAGAAGTGGCCTTACTTCACGACACTTAACCACAAGCATCGGTAATACAGAAGAGTTCATCCCTTTTGATGAGCCAGAAATTGACTCTACTGCTGCTATAATGCAAGAATTGCAAAAGAGATTCAATACAATAAGTCAGCATAAATAACAAGTGACAACAGATTAGACAGAAAATATCAAAGCATAAATCATTGAAGAATTTAAAGCATAGAGTAATCAGAAACCCTAAAGCAGCAGTAAGCCCTTAGTATAAGTTCCTAGGCTTGCAGAAACAAAGAATTAGGATATATCTCAACTAGCAGACAGATACAATCTCACCGAGATCTATGACTAACCGCCAGGAGCAAGCTCGGAGGCGGATTCAACACAAGAGTTAGTCCTAGAGTATGTAAAATATCCAGGTTCTTCTCTAAGTTTTTAGACCAAACTTCCAAATTATGCCATCGATGCTACATTACAAAAGAAAATCAAAGAGCTAGACAATTTTTCACTTGGAATAAGCTCTGAAGTCGAGACAAAGTAACTTTAGATCTTCATCTTTAGACTTGAAAAAGGTAGAAATGCTGATCTAGACATTGGCCCTTTGTCAGATGATAAGATATCTGAACAAGACATATCTAATTTCTTTGTTTGCAAAAAGGATTCGCTCGAAATATCCGACAAAACCATTTGATTCAGAGGTCAGAATATATTTAATAGCAGACGAATTTCTTCAAATAAGAATACTAAAGTAAGCTCTGCCCAGATCTCCTTCATGTAAATGAATCTACTGCTAAATGAAAATATCTTCCCTGCTATAATTTAATTTCAACATTCTTATTGAATAAGGGGTTTTGGGGTTTTGGGGTTTTGGGGTTTTGGGG